ACCACGCACTCATTCCCATTACCTGCTTGTTGCATTAGTAGTGTGCGTTTGTCGGCAGGTCTGTTTCGGTGTTGAAAGTGATGAAAATGAAGAGCAGAGTAGGCATGTTGAAGTGTTTTGTCATTCCTCCAGATCAAGACTGAGGCAAATTTTAGTTTATTATCTTCAACAGTGTTGCAGTGTATTGATCATAAAGGTAACATGACCCCCAGCAAGCCAGTTCAGAGAAGAGAGTAGCATTTTGCCAGCTTTGGTTCCTGAAGTAGTTTGTTACGGTGTCACCGGAGTGCTAGTACTGGGGTAGCGTAAAGGGCTGCCCCTTTTGGCAGCTGTTCAGCTCAGTCAATCTGTTGATGCAGTAAAACTGCACCCTGAGCTTGTCACATTTCAGGTGAGTAGCCTAATTGGTGGCCTGTGGGCCTTTTTGGCCCAATAAATAATTACATATTTGAAAAGTACAGTTCTGCTTGAAGTGAGTGAGAGCAATGCATCCAAGAGTGGATTGCAGCCGTTTACCATCAACTAAAATTCTTCCTCTGCTGCCTTTTCACTCTGTAGAAGAGCGTTACAAGAGGCCTCTCGAGAATCCATTCCGAATGATTATAGCATTAATCCTCCTCACACTCACTGAGCCCCAAATTGTCATTTGTCAGTTGTTGCTTTGTTCATTACATGTGATTGTCATCTGCTGTTGCCAGGGTTCAAATGTGGTTCCTGAAAATGTACCTTATTGGTGCTTTTTTAAAAGGGAAAACCTATCAGCCAGAGGGTGCAATTTTTTTCAGGCTTTTGCAGTTTGAAAAACTGTGGCAGTTCTACACGGCTTTGTTAATTTGTTTTGTACATTGTGTATTGTTGCAGATTTTTTTTTTCTATAGATGCATGTTTTTCACTTTACAAAAAAAAAGAAGGGGGGGAGAGAAACACTTTACAGAAAAGAAGGTAGAGAAGTTTTAAATGGCTTTGGAGATAACATTAAAAATGTTTCCTTCTGTTTAGATCTACAGAACTGGATTCCAATTGGTCTTGGTTTCAGCTGAGGTGCATGCAAGTTGGAGGAAATGCAAATGCTGTATGTACTCCTGAGTATTAGCTTTGCATGTTGAAGCTTGTTAGGCTTGGAAGCTAGTGTCTGTCCTTATTGGCTCACATCTTGGTGATATTTTTATTTTTCCAGTCCATTCCTTTTTTTTCCTCTTGCTATTAAGAATTTCTTTGAATGCTGATTTCGTCCTCCATAGTTCTTGCAACTTTTCCGTCTTGGTATAATCTGCAAACGTTTTATTTTTTCTTACAAGTCATTAATAAAAAATCACTGAAAAGGCCAAATCAGATTCTTTGTTAACATGTGTCTAATTAACAGGGAAACATTGACAGCTGCTGAAAGATGGCTTTCCAACAGCTTGTAAACCTAGCTCATGGCCATCTTCTTCTGACCAGGTTTCCC